TAATTTAATTAGCATTTAATAAAAAATTTGATACCTATGATATTGGCTCTAATAGTGCATTACTATCACATCAAGTTTAGATGTGTCCAATACAAAATTGACTATAATACTAATAAAGCTTCAGTCTATTGAATTAATAACATTTGTCATGTATTGAATGCTTAGCATATGACTTAGATACATTTTCATGAGATTATATCAATAGCCTTTTAAAATTAATATTCTTATATCAAAATAATATGTACACATTTAGCTATTCACATTTGTTAGCACAAATTTTCACATTAAAAACTGAATTAGTATTAAGTTAGTAAGTTCATACAATGTTTATATAATACTTGTTTATAAAAAATTTGCTCACTCATACCTTTAGAATGGATTTCAATCATTTACTCTGAATTATTTGCTTCTGAAGAGTTTATAGAATCACACCACCACACGTTTAACAATGAAATAGCCCCTCTTTTTAAAAACCTATTCAAAAGATACTTTATGAACCTATAAGAAGCCTTTTGGAATATTTTCCCCAACCTAGTTTCTAACCCAATGAATCAATGAAACCTATCTTCAATGTAAGGCCGAATCAAACAACTATTATAGTGCTTTGCTTCTTAGACTATCTGATTTTGACTATGATAATTCACTGTCTTTTTACTTTTTAATCTAAATTTTAACCTAATCAGATTACAATTTAAATGTATAAATAGCTTCCAGATATCCTCTGAAGACTAATTTCTTATTGTATGTTTTTATGATAACATGTATTCCTTTTTTGCACGCGTTACAATGTATATTGAACAATTGTTTGTTAGTTATTTTTCACCATCAAGTTATAAAGTCCATGAGAGCAGAACCATTTCTGTCTTTTGTAAGACTGGATTCTCAGAGGACTACCAGACAGATAGATGCCTAATAAACACTTGTAGAATGACTGTGTGCTTTTTCTACCTTGAAGTACACAATGGTGAAATGATTCCAGGCTTTTGCATCAGGAACCCTCGGCTTGAACCACAAAAGTACTATGTATTAATTGGACGTCCTGACATGATGAGATTCAAGGCAGAATCCTGGGCCTTCCTCTGCTACTCATTAGAAAGAAGATTCGTGTCTTCTTTTGGGACAGTCAGAGATATCAAAGCCAGTTTTTCTGTGACTCTACCTAGGTCTACAGACAGCCATTTGGTAACTAAAGTAGAACAAAGTCTGACTTCCATTTTGTATCCATTTGCAGTGTAAATCTTGGGCCAGTTCTCTTCTCAGCTCTGCATAGGGTGTGCTGGCCATTTAGGGAGTGTGTGTCTAGGATCTGGCCAGACAGGGTTGATAAGCTCTGAATTCCTGTGATCTCACCCTTCTTCCTGTCTGAGGACACCAAGCTATGTGGTCTATAGGGACATTCAGCTCGACCCAGAAGTGTCCAGCCACTGCCCAGACTTGTGACCACATGGATTCCAGGAAAGGCTGAGCCCCACGTGAATGAGAGCATGACAGACTGGCTACCCTTCCTGGGAATAGAACCATCGCTCAGGCATATAGACTCCACAACGGAGAAATGATCGACCAGCCCCAGCTCACTGGTGAATCCTGGGTGCAGCCGGTCTCAGCCTCTGTGGCAGTGTGCCCCTTCCAGCTACCCAACTGGTACCCCCTTTCTTACATTCCCTCTAACTCTCTAACTAAAGCCTTTTTCCTATAAATTTGTGCTTTAGTTTTAATTTCCATTACTACTAAAAGCAAGGACACATGATAGCCAGTGACAAAATCTTCAGACTTGTTTTCCAGTGATCTTGTCAATTTGCCAAACTGCTGACTGAAGTGTTTCTGCTTTGTTTACAAACATGACCTCATGACACAGATTCCAAGAATAGAGTCCAAATGAGGCTGAAGTACATAGAAAGTTTCTTTTATTTATTTCACTTAACAAATTTGTTTATTATTTCTCAATTAGCACTATATTCAAAGTAACTTAAAAATATTTTCTCCTCTACCCCAATCACATTTTAACCTTTCCATGATGGACTAGAAGATAAGGACTTTTCTGCTTCTCTTATTATTTCATTTTTTCATTTTAATCACATAAAGCTTTAGATCAATATTTGAAAGTCATTTGTTGTTCAGAGGAGTGGGAACTATAGTCTATTCAACAACTCTGCTTTTAGATGTAATTTATGCCAGAAACAAATTGGGGTAACAACAGGAAGTAGCTATGTTGCATATACAGTTGATAAGTTACATAAATATTCTTCATCTCATTGCTTAAATCTCTTTCCTTAACAGTTATTTTATAATATTTAAACTTATTACAAATACGTGAAACATGTATTAATTATTAGTTTATATTTTCCTTTCCTGAAGGTGGTCAGATATTTTATCTCTGATAGTCAAACTCTTAAGAATGTATCAAATTAGTGTAACCAAGTTATTTCTGAAACTATTGCTAATTAAAAGTTAATTTAATTCAAAAGCTCAATACTCAGCACTATTTTTAAAATATCAAGACTAAGAAGTGCTGTTAAATCAGAATAGATTTGATAGTAGATTATGTAATTCTTCAGATAATAAACATATATTCCTTGGCTCTGCATCTTAAAATGGACAGTTTAGAAAGCAGTCCCAAACTGAGGACAATAAGAATTCATGGTCAATGGCTATACATTTAGGATGAATTAAACCTGAACGTGAAGCATGGGACCTTTCTTTATGAGTTACTCAGTTGCAGAGAGATGATGAGTAGGTGTTCTTATTTAAGAAAGTGATAAATAAGCAGCAAAGGTATTCCTGAAGATGAAGACCAGATATGTTTCGGAATTACATACTTTCCATTTTACTGTGAAACAGCCTAAGTTTTTACCAGTGTATAGATTTAGAAAGAATTCAGCCATAAGGCAGGAGGAGATGAGGAAATCTATTAAGATTCCACCCAATGTTACTATTCATTCATGTTTCACTTGATGTGTTTTCCAATTTCATTTAAGTACTATTTCATTCTGGCTAGCTTTGTTTGTTCATTTAAATCAATGTTAAATCTGAGCATAACAACTACCACTTTCTTCTTTCCTTTTATTTCCCTCACCTAAGTGCTTCCTGTGAAACAACTTGGAAACTACTTTCTCTGAGATATATAACTTTATGATAATTGAAGTCTTGACCTTAATTATTTTTAGAGAGTGGAAGGGAGAGGAGGGGATTGATTATAAGGCCAAAAGTGGTAGTTTCATTAAAAGTATTTCCTTTGTTATTACTATATTCAAAGGGCTGAATTCTTATTCATTTTATCAAAACTTATTAACCTCATAATCTATTGCAGCCAACATCTCATCTATTAATCAAATGCATTTTCCAAAAACTGAAGTATTTCAAAGCAAACTACTGTTCAAATTAAAGGATTTTTTAACGAAGGTGTTTAAACTTCACATACAGTACATTTATTTTAAATTTTACTAGAAATGTATATACGTCATATGTATTGGAGAAATAGTAAGGTGAGACATCAGAAATAACCTTGGTTAATGACATTTTAAGTTATTTTTAAATATTAGTTTATGATGTATTAAGGCAATTGCCTAGCATTTACAGAAACCACTGACATCCAGTAAATATTAGTCAAATTCTTCATTTTCATAGGCTTCAGAAAGTTAAAATATATGATTTCTTACTCAAAAGTAAACATTTTATCCCTAAAAAATATATAAAAGTTCCACAGACATCCCGTTCTTCAATTAAATCCATCATTGGATATTTTTTTTCACTAATGTTGGGAAGCTTATAAGCAAAATTAATGTAAGCTTTTAAAATGTTCTCCAAATTGCTATGAGTTCATAATGAATAAAGAGATAAAAATTTTAACTTTGCAAGCAGTTTTATGCCTAACTATCCACTGTTTCTGTAAACCACCTACATATTATGAATCACTTTGTATTTTAATATTTTTACTTAATACTGGCATTGATATTTTCAGTGGTACTGTGGCTTACCATTATTTGCTTTAACATCATATTTCATGAAACTTACCACACAGGTGAGATAAATATGAAAAGAAAATGGAAAATACTTCATATTGGATTGCAATGTTATTTTTACCTTCTTATTTTGCAAAAACAATACAGTTGCCATATACTCCTATTTAGCTACCTGAATATTAACTACTTAGGAAGCTATACTATAACTCTCAAAAGAAATTAATGTTTGTAAAATAGTATTAACTAAACCATCGATTTTACTCCAATTGAAATACTGCATTTTCCCATTAATTTATTATTTTCATCAATTATTATTACTATAAAGGTAATGTAATGGAAAAATTAGGATAAGGAAGAACAATTCATTCCTAACCTCATTGCTCTGCACATTTTACTACTATTTTTATATATTTTCACCTATTTTTAATTTAAAATTAGATTATACTTTTATATAATGAAAAAAATTTAAAAGTCTCATATATGTATACTGGTTTACTTTTAATCGACTAATAAAGTAAAATATTCTGATCCAGCATTTTTCAGACATCATCATATTGGTGTAGTTAAAACATTACTCTATACATTTATTATAATTCTTGTTATACACTCAACGGTTAAACTAATAAAAAAAGCTACAATTCCAGTCTGAGCTCTTTAAATTAAAAAAAAAAGTGTACTTTTACTGTGTACTGTCTATATTATTTCCATTTAAAGATTAAATTTTTTCTCAAAATACGTATTTGTTCTGCATATATGCCCACGGCTTTGGGTTAAGTAGAAGCACCAAAATACTGAGTATCACATAAATGAAAATAGATTTGCTTATTACTAAGTTTTAGGGATGTAATTTTTAAAAGTACTGTAAATATATTAACTGCAGTTTTTCTTTCTATATTTCACTGATATATGTATTGAAATAGAAGATATTTTCTTTTCTGGAACTCTTTTCTAAAGGAAAAATGATATCAATATCTATATATAATGATACAAATTTAAAACATTCAAGTATTTTTCTTTTCTCTCTTTCTGTCTCCTCTATAGAATTGCAGAGTAGTTCTTGTGGAAATCCTGGAGTTCCTCCCAAAGGTGTATTATATGGTACAAGGTTTGATGTTGGGGACAAGATCCGCTACAGCTGTGTAACTGGATATATCCTGGATGGCCACCCTCAGCTCACCTGCATAGCCAGTTCAGTGAACACAGCCTTGTGGGATTTTCCTGTTCCTATCTGTAGAGGTAAACAAAACAATACAAAAACAACAAAAAAATACATTTTTATACTGATTGAAAATTTGCTTGACATAATGAAAACATGTTAAAAGAGTTACAATTAGCTAGTATATTTGAACATTTTCTGCTTACTCCTTCTATGGAATTTTAAACGTGTGTGTGTTTGTGTGTGTGTGTGTGTGTGTGTGTCACATACTGAATGTCAAGTATAGAAAAATGCTAAATTCTTGTTAGTACAATATGACTTTTGACAAGAGCCTAAAAAACATCTCAACATTTAGATACATATTTATGCATACATAATGTATATATATATATACAAATCCATATACATATTAGAAAACCATATGGAGTTTGTGATGTTTAGAAATTTAATTAGGCTATGAAAATTATTATTTTACTTTCATTGAGTAATACTGAATAGAGCACTGAATATGTTAAATATTTCAGGGAACTTGCTATAAGAATTGATGACATTAGTAGTACTGAATCGTTTCTTACAGATTCCAGAAAGATTATTTGTGTTATGGGGAAAATACAATTACCTACTAATGAGGACAAAATTTCAAAGTACAAAGCCTGGAAAATAGAACATGTTCAACTTTAGCTAAATGTGTAGACAGATCTTGCCCACAAAATTCTGACCAATATTGTTTCTTTCCTAATGTGTTGCATTTCATTTACTTTTTACCTATGTTTGTCTACTACCTCTACTATAGTAATGTCCAACTGCACATCCAAGTTACTACCTTTCTCCCAAACATGTTACCACACGTGCATGTGGAAGTTACCCAGGGAAATAAGACACAGCTAAATTGTTATTTCATGTTTCTCAATTAACATGTTAATTACCTCTTAAAAATCATATCAACAATTTGAGTTTCATTTATTTCATTTAATCAAGAGAGCAAAAAACAAGGCTATGGGTCCATTCATTATAAGGATTAAATAAGACAAAATATATCTGCCACTTAGTGAAATATCTGTTATATATTTTTACACACTCCGTGTTGGGTCCTTTTGTTGCTGGTACTTCTATTGGTACTATTACTGCTACAGTGCTATTGTTGGTGTAATTTTCCTTACTACTATGGCTAGTATTGGCTATTTACTTGACACTAAAAATGTGCTCAGAAATTTAGAGATATTACCCCCCTTAAATTTCACAATAAGGACTGAAGTCTAGATGTTTAAAAATAATTATTTAACATTACTCAGCTAATAAGCATCAGAAATTATGCAAATCTGTGATTTTATTGTACTTGCAAGTTGACAAATTTCTTGGCTAATTTTATGAATGGTGATAAAAGAGTCAAGGTTCTTTGGTCAGAAATAAATGGTAGTTTATTAATCATAGCCATACCCCAATTCTTACAGAATAATATGGAGTGTGTGAGATACCTGCATGCATACAAAGTGGTATTATAGGAGACAGAGCTGAGTTTAGGAACCTGAATCTTTTATAATGAGTAGCAAGCATTCTTTGCTCTAGAGGGAAATATCTAGCTCCCAAGGCTGTACTCACACTTGTTCTTCACTGGTGGAAGACACTATTTATAATTTCCTGGGCTATTGCCTATACAAATATCATTGAAAAGATAGGCCGGTAAGAGGAGCAAGCAGGACTGTTGGAATCTAGGCTCACAAGATATGCAGAAACATGAGAATGCCATGGGGAAATATGCCAAATGGAATATGCAAATGGAATATGGTAGGGAGGTCAGGTTTCAACCATTCTCTAATTCTAAGGCCTGAGCTTGTTAACACCTTTGACAGTGCACAAAAATGATTTCCACTTTTCTTTAAAAGCACTTTATCGTAATGAGAGGAAATGGAATGTCACATATGAAGTAGTCAAAAGACACACAAGGCTGATCAGAAAATACATTGATTGTTGAAATTTAAAAACTTACAGTAAAAGACACATCGCTGTTAATCCCCCTCAAAATCCTCCTGTTCACATTGACCACACTTTTTGCTTCATTCCTGCCATTTCCTGAAGCAGTACTAAAGGTCCTCTTTTATTTCTTTACAAGATGAGATAAAAAAAAATACAGTGACTGTAGGGGCCAAATGCCATCCAGTGGAAAGGCAGACTCCTAGAAACATTATAATGTGTCTTCATCTACCTTATACAGTGACCTGGCACTTGTGACTTCCAAATCTTTCTTTAGGCCGCAATGACCATGAAGGGTGAAACATTTTATCTAAGCACTCAAGAGAGGGCAACTAAAGGCACAAAAGAGGACTTCCATAACTGCTTCAGAAAGTGGCAAGAATATTGTGCTTGCAGCGAGGGAGAGCATTTTGAGGGGATGGGGGGTAATGGCTATGTGTCTTTTACTGCAATAACTTTCAAAATGTAAACATTGGTGGTGTATTTTTCAATCATACATTAAAAAGTCATTTTAAAAATAAAAAATTAACTCAAAAAGACTTGTTAAAATACCCCAAACCAAATCTTTGATAGGGACTTAAGATAGGAAAAAACAAGAACCATTTGAGTGGGTTCCAATAAAGCATTCTCAGCATTACCTGAGAATTCATCTCTGTTATGGGCTCCTTCTTCTCTATCTCAATTTAGATAATAGTCTTTGGAGTTAAAAAAGATCTTACTCTACTGCTTCTGCCACTTACTGAATAGTACCTTGGGGAAAACAGAATTATTTCAGCCACTACTTCTTTATCTATAATGGAGTGAAAAGATGGGCAGAAAAATACCAAAAATATAATACTATTAGGGTTCAATGTACAGCACAAATAGGTACATAATAAGTTATTTACATTAGCTCTATCATCCCACTTTTCCTTAGTACCTCTCTTACCATATCCTCCACCTCACAAAAATACAGAGATAAATTAAGAGTAACTTAGAATGGATACTATCAAGTATTTCATGTGAAGTCTAACTTTAAGACCAATACTTCTATTTTATCACAGTTGCTGTTTTATTTCAGGGTTTTACTCTGCTGCTAAGCATCCACTGTGTACTTCCCCACTTCTCATTCTTAGCACCCTATGGCCTTATTTCCTCTGACTTTTCCTCTAACCTGTGTGTTATTTCATCTTTCCAAAATCTCTGTGTTTGTAGATACTGCCTGCTTAAATCCAGGCTTCCAAGCTGCCTCTTTCTCCTCAACAACAGCTAAAGATGCATTTTCTTGTTCAAATGTATAAGTCCTACCATGTGAAAAATCAGCATTTCACTCACTGAGGATCAAACGAATAATTAAGAAACAATTCCTCCCTTTAAGAACTCTTGGCCCAGTGGAGCAAACTGTACTGTGATCAAATAATTACAATAATGTGTGATAATTGCTTTCATGGAAGAATCTGTACCTTGCGCTCAGCACCTTGATAAAGGAGGCATTAATGTCTCTCAGTCCAGCAGATGGAAGTTCAGCTGGGGACAACACTTCAAGAGAAAATTTCACATAGGATTACTAAAAATACGAACTATATAGAACAAGAACGTTTTGAATGAGGCAATGATTCATGTAGAAAGTACAAATTTTCTTTTCCAGCCTCAAAAGTAGTTCTCATGTGTTACTAATATTCTCCAGCTAAAGGTAGATTCTAAATCATACTTCATAGAGCACATGATCTGATTTTCTAAGGTGCAATTTATCTTTCACTAACCATTTTTTTATTAAACCTTAAAGAATCGAGGACTAGTGCATTTTGCAACACAACGTGTGTCACTACATTCAGTCCCAAGGATAAGAGGCTCCTCAGTCCTTGCCTCCCTTTTGTGCTCTTTGTCACTTGACAGCATACTGATTCTTTAATTTATAACTTTGCAGGGGGCTGATAACTGTAATTATTTGCTCATTTCTTCCTCTGGAGTTTACATAGAGACTCTCCTTGATGAAACCTTTGCTTTTAGAGTTCTTTGATGAATCCTAACAATAGTATTTCAATTAATTAAAAAAAAAAAGAATGCCACATCCACCTAGAGGGGATGGTGCAAGGGTTTTTTTGTGTTTGTCCACAGAATTTTATTGACACCACCTGCTAACATTTGTAAAAGGCAACTAACATCCTGCTGTTGACATAAGCAATTTCCTATAAAAAATGAAGTTTAATGCCTGTGCCTTAAATCTAGAATGAAGATATCTGGAGCCTTTGACTTTTTACATGCTCTCCTAGGACTGACATTTCCATGACATTCACTCCCACCCAGCTTTGATGAGAACCTCAGAGTCCTTCCCACCTCAGTGCTCCCAACACTCCTTAATAAGTAATGCAGTTGGTCAACAGAGTTAAAAGGACATGCTATTCCTAGGTTAAGCTTCTAAGCTTCATAATGATACTGTATATTCAGAATGGCATTTGACTACTAAAACATGTAGAAGAGATACATAAATTAGAGTGTTTTACAAGAACCTACACCAGAATGCACACACAAACACTTAACAATTTGATTAAGCAATAACTATATTAAGGTTAGGAATTAGTTGTATAAAATTTAAGGTTGTGTTAGGAATGTGTGAATTAATAATTGACTAATGGAAATTGCTAAAAGAGTAATTATGTTGTCTTGACATTTTCAGTATATTTTTAATAGCCAATGGTAAAATTCTAAGAATTCATAAGAGGTTTCAAGGTAAACGGTGATAAGCGAAGTGACATCATGCTGTAAAATATGAATGGAATTTGTTGTGATCTGCTAGGAGAGGGTTAGATGTTAGTGATGTAGATATCATAGTTGATGCATAAACCAAATATTTCGCAGTGCCGAAAGGCAAAATGGCTAATGAGGTAACTTTTACCTCTGATAAATCAAAATAAATTTCAATTAACTGAGGTAGCAGTGAAGGTGAAAATGGCCTTCCAAGTTTTACCTTGGAAGTAAAAGAAGCTTCTGTCACATCATGATAGAATAAATGGCTGGTGTAAAAAGAACAGCATGGTGTTTGTTACAACATGACACTATTTTCCTGCTAGATCTGGATCAACAATTCTGTATGCCAGGGTAATATGAAGACGTAGAATTGGACTTAGCA